TTGATATGGTTTTACTTTTGTGTAAGTGGAGCTTTAAAGACATTGTCAGTAATGTATCTGCATCTACACAGTCAATGCATGAAGTTGATTTTCTGATATCTTTTAAACCCATTTCAATAAGCTTATTTTGTAAAAATGGGCATCTTATTACTAATTCCTTTAGACAGCTAATGCTGATTTTTGTTTTTTCAGTAAATATGAAGGGGAAAATGGAAGATGGCAGGGGATTAATGAAGTCTTAACCTCACGGTGGTGGGGTGGGAGTGGGAAAAACTGGAACAGGACACTGGTGGGTTGCTTATGCAGTATTTCTTAAATTGTCTAGCCCTTGTGTATTGTTCTAAAAACTAAAGCTTAAATTGTCATGTTCTTACCTGCTAGATATGCTGTTCTTTGATAGAAAATTCCCATAGTCTGTGTTCAAGAAGTGCCTGAAATTGATCTGTCCTGATTTTTAAGTCCATCTAATAAATTATATATGTTTTCTATGGTAAGAAAGAGAGAGAGAGAGAGAGAGAGAGAGAGAGAGAGAGAGAGAGAGAGAGAGAACAAAAGAGAGAAAGAAGAAATAAGGAAAGAAAACCTGACACAGTAATGGCATCTAGATAACAAAAACAATTGATCTTGGTAAGTCTCAGGGTACTGTTTTCCCTTTCTCTAAACTGCTTCTCACTTTTTTAAGTGAGTTAAACATTTTGTAAAATAAGCTACATTCTGCGATCACTTTGGTGGTAATGAGGTTAGACCCCCTCGATCCAACTAACACCTAGTAGGCAGAATACTAGAAAGCTGTATTAAGCCAAAATATCTCGTTGTCCACCCTTTGCAAGAAGATTCTGTGCAGCTGCCAAAGTTATGAGTGATCATTATCTCACTTCAATGTTTTGTGCAGAATCGGGTGCGCCTGGGAACTCAGCGACCTGAACGCGACCTCCCACGGCATTGTTCTAATAATGCATGTGGGCACACTTGGGAAATAGTCTCGAAAAAGTGCTATCCCTTTGCAGTAACTATTGTTCACTCATCAGGACAAAGGATTATATTTGGCTTCTCGTTGTTATTTAGGTATATCTGTTTCTCTGTGCACACAGATACACGCAAACACACACATATACAATTTGCGTGCATGTGTGTCATCAATTATTGCAGTCTAAGTTTGCCTATCCATGACCTATATGCATATTATTAGCCAGCTGCTGTAGTTGGTGTTTTGTGTGTTATTCACGTACCAGCATTAAGCGTGCAACTCATATGTAAAATGCTGTGCAAAGTGACAGAGATACAAGGACTAGTGAAACACGGGTTCTTAACTCACCCATTGTCTGATGCAGAGACGAACATGTTAATAATAGAGGATTCAATAACAGTTGCATAACAGTTTGCACTGGATGTGTATAAAAGGAACACCGAAACAATCGTGGCTTTAACCCCGAAGGGACTTTTCAGTCCCCACCCCGAAAGAGAAGACGCAGCACATGAGAGGGCTGTTTCTCCTGCTTCTCCACACTCAGTGCGAGACTTCCATCCTCAAGCTTGTCGTATTTTTAAAAGCTTCTGGAGCCAACAGGAAGGAAAAGGCAGAGGGCAGAAGGGGTCCTTCCCTGGCTAAGCCAGCTCCTTTCAAGTAGCCTTACCAGAACGTAAAGCATTTTCATCTTTATTTCTAAATTATAGTTGCTCACATGGCCATGAGAAATGCATCCTTAAGTCAGTCTACTGCCATCTCAAATAAGAAGCTCTGTTATGGGGAAAAGTAGAAGACAGATACTGGGTGGTGACCAGTAATGTCTGTCACATAAAAATAGCAACAAAAGGCTGAGGCAGCACAGAGCAATAGAACAGTTAACTCTGGAATCGGTAAAAGGAACTTTTGAGGAACAGATGTTCAGTTTAGGGCTTGAAGGATGAAGAGGAGTTATCTAACTGACTGAGAGGATTCCAGACAGAAATGGAAGTATGTGTAAAAGAATAGAGGGATCTGGCATGATAATTGCCAATTCAACCTATTTCTTCAGTCCCAGTTATTTTTCTCTCTGTTATTAATCATAGGTCCTAAAGCAACAGTTTAACTAATTTTAATTAACAGTCATTTGAGATCAACAGATTCAGATATGTAAAGAATGATTATCTTGCTATAATTGTACTTTTCCACTCGGACCAAAATAAGAATATTTTATCTGATGATAGAGTATCCACATTTTAAAAATAATTGAGTTAGAATATTTTGGCATCCTAAGGAGGAATTGATACAGAGAAAAGAAAGAAAAACACTTGTGTCAGGGAGGTATTTTCCTTTTAAGCTCTGAAGTTAAAAACACCCAGTAAGAACTGGCTCGGCTCACGTGCTGGGGTCCAGGAAGCCACACTGAGTGTGCTCGCTCAGGCGTTCGGCCAAGTTCGCCCTAAAATGTGTCACCTCTTATTTAGCTGCTTCTAATATGACTGTTCCTTTGGATCTATGAAGCTGAAGTGTTCTTTTCTTAAAATGGTTTTGGAACCATAAGGAATCTTTAGGATTAAAGAGGGATTTTTATGGTTATCTCCTCTGGCTCTATTGGAGACATGAGAGTCCATTAAAAATCTTTCCACAGAAACTTATGTCCTTTGAGAAATCTGAAATTCCTATAATTTAAGGGGTAAATCCAGCTAGATTTGAGGTGCCTGCTGGTAGAAATTTCTATGCCCACTACCCACCTTGTCCTTCCACATAGCTGAGGATCTTAAAAGACTGAACCTATTTCAGTTCAATCCCAGACACAACAGTAGGGTGGAGAATTCTATGCTGCTTCACTTAGGATCATCATATGCAGAGAAGTCAGTCCTACTAAAACAGTCTGATAACTCAGTCATGATTTTTAAATTGTCTGTGAACCTTGGTTTTCACTGTGTCACTAATTAGCTAGCGTCCAGGTGTTTCTAAAGGGCACAGTGAACCTCGCAGCAGCACCTCCTTTCGGGTGTTAGTCCCATTCCTCGTTTGTCCTCAGCTCCAGCTGTTCCTCTGTCAAGTCTTCATTGCCCTCTCTAACCAAATAAACTGTCCAAGTTTATGTTCTCAGAATACCGTGTATCTTCCAGCTTTTCTCTTGAGTACTTCACTGGTATTTGTGTGATTATCTGAAAACTGTCTGCCTCCCTCGCCACACTGTACACCCAGGAGGACAGGCCCACGCGTGCTTTGTACAGCCCGCATTAAGCTTGCTCCTAGCACAGCGTCTGGCACTAAGTGCTGCTTAGCTGATACTTCAAACATTCACATTCCGCTCCAAATACAAGAGCAAGTGCCGAACTGATCGGCCCATGTGTAGGCCCATGTACAGCTAAGAATGCTGAAGATAATTTTATCACAGTCACACAGAGTACACCAAAGAAGTCTTGTTCTTGGCTTAGCATGGAAGAAAGTTGGTTGAATTCTGATCTGGCCTCACTGCAGCCCCTGAATGGAGGGAGGAAAACCTGCAGGAGGACACAGACCCTCCTTTGCTCCCTACTTTCGCACTCAGCACCGTGTTTTCCTGCTATTTTGCTTTTCAAAAAATGTGTAGCTATTGAAGTTGTTGCTCTGTAATCTATTTGAAAAGGTATTTCAAAGGAAAAAGAAGCATTACCACATCTTTAAAATAGGGTACAGAGATAACAAAATGCTAAATATAGTAACTATATTTTAAAACATTTGCTTAAATACATTTTTATGCTTACTAATATATGAAGTACAAAAGGAAAATCAAGCCACAAAAAAGGCAAGGACAAATTAGGAGGGTTTTTGGAGACAAGCCCCTTCAAATATCAATCTAGTTCTCCTTTTGTCAAAAACAGTAATCGAAATAGTTTGAGAGTGCCGGGCGTCATGGCGCATGCCTGTAATCCCAGCACTCAGTAGGCTGAGGCAGAAGGAGTGCCATAAATTATGGGCCAGCAAAGGCTATATAGTTAGTTCAGGGGCAGCCTGAACTATACAGCAAGACCCTGTCTCAAAGAACTATTAAAAAAATAGTTTGAGAGTAGAATACGTTTTTTGGTATTAATTCAGATGAAAACGATAAGATATGCAGCCTGGTATAGTTTAGAATTGTTTTAACTCCAACATTGGAAAAGAAAGTAAAGATAGGAATCAGTTTACCCATCTACTTTGTAAATAGTGATTTTTGTCAAGCTAGTTTGGAGTAAGCGTAAATGTTTTTCTAGAAGTACAGTATTGAGACCTTGCCTGGGTAAGCGGCCGTAGGCAAGATTCATGGCCCCAGTTATGGAGTGCGTTTATCATACACGGCCCGTAGTGAGAGGCTGGGGTTGCACCTGGTACAGGACAGGCCCAGGCAAATGGCAAGGCCTTGATATTGGCTGTTTCTGCCCCCATGCCGATCATCATCTGTCCCCACACATGTACATTAATCTTGTCTCCAGTAGCCAGTTATATTCTCTTTTCCTACATGAGATGCCAGCTAGAAAAGGAAATATTTTCCTTATTATATCATTTTGCAAAAATGTATTAAGACAGTTCACTGAGCAGTGTTCTGGTCATTTGGGATCAGTGAAAGCAGGGCACAAAACCCTGGCCGTTACACAGGTTATCTTCCAAGGAGCAAACAGAGCACGGAGACTCTTCAGAGGATGTTTTCTGCTACCATTACCTCGCAGCTGTATTTTTTGTCACTGGGTCAGTCTTAGTTATTCACTGAGAATTCTTGTAGAATTGAGGTTCTAGGTCATCAATAGCGCAGGGTCATCTCTCTCCCTCTCTGCACCCTCTCCTGCCCAGACTCCCCTTCTCTCTCTTGTGCATGCTTTCGTTTGTGTATTTGAATTGTAAACACATCTTTACTCAGGCTGGATTTCTTCCTCCTTAGCTTGATTCTCATCCTAGTCTGACTCCATCCCCCCTCATAGAAGGTCTGTTCCGTGCCCCTCGGGAATGAAGGGAGGGTCATTTGTGGTGACTGGCCCGTGGGTCCCTGCCGTGTTAGGTGCCCCTTGAATTACACATCTCTCTTTCTCGTTAGATTGTTGGCTGCGACCACCAGCTGGGAAGCACCGCTAAGGAGGATAACTGTGGGGTCTGCAACGGAGATGGGTCCACCTGCCGGCTGGTCCGAGGGCAGTATAAATCCCAGCTCTCTGCAACCAAATGTAAGATACTACAGAGATGGGGCGACCTCTGTACTCACTGGCTTGTTATCCTCCCCTGGCTTCGCTCTGGCTTCTCTAAGAAATCAAGAACTAATACCTCCATCCAGGCGGAGAGGAATCTGAAATTGTGAACATCTTCCTGTTCCTGCTTAGTGAGTTCATTTCAGGGGGACAGGTCAAGTCACCAGTTGTGACCCCAGAGAGGGAGTTTTCTTTTTCAGTCATGGCAGAAGTGAGCTAGCGGTACTCTTTGGGCAAACATACACGTTGCTACAACAGGAGGGCAGACTGCATCCCAACTCCTGCCTTTTTTGTAGTCAGAGGGTCCTGGTGAAGTATAGTGAGGAGACTGCAAGAGTTCACACAGATTCACCCCTGCCACTGTGAAATGACGTGCTCCTCACTGACAAAGTAGCCTTCGGCCAGTGCTGACGCAGGATCTTCCAGAATTAGAGATTGTGTGGACTGTGTGTGCTGGCAACTTCACCACATCATCTCATTTAATCTTTGTAGCAGCTATGAGCAGAGCAGGATTCATTCCCTTGGTGTGGGGAAGATGCCTGAGACCGAGGAAGACTGTCTGACTTGCTCAGACTCACAGTGCCATAAAGTAACGGAGCCAAGACTCCAGCCCAGAGTCTGATTCACAAGTCGATCACGTACCTGTCCCTCTGGGTTGTCTTGTAGCCTCCGGACTGCGTCTTTGGTAGAACTTTTCAAAGCAGATAGATGGGCCAAGCCAGAGGACCCCAGATATACACCCATTTGAATCTTCTCAGGTAGATGGCATAAATTCCAAGATACCTCCGCCAACAGTGAGTCACAGATTCACTCAGAACATTTCACAATGTACTATCTTCTGTGATGACTACTGTTCTAGGCACTGCAGATAGAACATGATCTTTGTACTCAATGACGTATATTTTTAGAATTATTTTGAAATTTCTGGCCAGTTGTCTCCAGATTCTACCATTACTCAGGATTTTTCAATAGATCTTCGATTTTCTGGATTAAGAATGCAAATGAATAAGTTTATTAAGTGCGGTGCTGTTCTCTTGTTGGCTAGTTGGAGGAAAATGATTGATGTATGGCAAGTTTATGACTTTAAATGGAGTTGTAGGGCAAAAAGAAGGCAGATGCGGGTGTTCTGGTATGCACTGGAGAGCTGGTCGTAGAAGTCATGCAAAGGCAGCTCGCCGTAAGGGCAAATGTCTAGGGGCAGGGCAAAGACTGGGAACTTTAAACACACGAGACACTGGTCATGCCAGCTTTGGGAACTGTCTGCATTCTAACTTCCCTGGAGGCAGTGAAAAATGGGATTCTATAAAAATTCAAAAATTAAAAAGACTGTGGCAGGTAGGATGAAAGACAAAGTAACTTAGACATTGACAAAGTATTCAGGCAGTATTTTTCTTTGCTCGTGTGTGTTGTAACTTTTTTTTTTTTTTTTTTTGTTTTTTTCCGGTACCAGGAACCGAACTCACGACCTTGCGCTTGCCAGGCAGGCGCTTTTGCCGCTGAGCTAAATCCCCAGCCCCTGTTGTAACTTCTTTTAGAAGATGAAAACTTAAAGAAGTTAGAAGATAGAAGCCAGGAAAAGGCATAATTCTTTTAAATAGCTGAGATTATTTTCAATTGCATTTAAAACTTTGGATATTTGAAAAATTACATTTAAAAGGTCACCCTTGCAGGACTCTTTAAGGAATGTTGGGAGGATTAAGATGCATCTAATTATTTGTCACATAATTGAATCCATTCTGATTATCTAGAAATTGCCGTTTGGGCAGAAGGGAAAGTCCGTGTGAGGTTAGGGGTGCGGTGGCTTCTGAGTGCGTGTTTCCTTGGTGGGGCTGTGCATTATTCTCTTGTCACCCACCTTCTTGTTTTCAAAAAGGAGCTAGGACACTGGCTCAAGAGACATTTCTCTCACCCACCCGTTAGGGATGATCAAACCCTGCCCTAGTCCTGAGTCACTGGGACACAGGTGAGAAAGCTCCGAGGGAACAAACCGGAGCAAATGGAGAGCCGTATGTCATCTCCAGGCCTGCAATTCAATATTCCAGTGCAAAGTGCTCCGGTCTGTCGGGCTCGGGCCAGCACACTCTGTTAGAGATGAATGAAGATGTGAGAGGCGGCGAATAGCTTTGTCGAGGGGCCAGGGGTCTTCACCAGATTGGAGTGAAGCCCACGCTGACTCGAACCCCCAGTTTATCAAGGAACAACAAAGGCAGTAGAGTCTCACTGAGCGCAAATATTTGTTTTAGGCAGCAAGGCAGGCAAGCAAGGCAGGGTGTCGGTTTGGCTGAATAATCTTCTATCTGATTGTCCCCTCAGGAGCTTCCTTGCCCCCTCTACCCGAAGGTCCATCTCTGCGTGAGTTGGCAAAACATCTTGTCTTCAAGACACTCCAGCTCCCTGGGATTGGCAGTCTTTTGCCTCCTGAGTCAGCTCGAGCAGACACTGACCCGCTGGGTGTCTCAAGGAACTCCACACTAGTCAAGACCGACAATGGGTAAATTATATAATACACAACCTGATGATTATGCATAATGACAAAATGCAATTGATTCGTTTACCTTAGCACTGATGATGCCTCCTGACAAAATGATTTATATCAGCAGAGCCCAGCATATGCATGTAGCTCAGCACAATCTATAGCAGATGCTGAACAATCCACTTCACTCATGTCTTCCCCACCCCAGAAGAATCTCCTCCGTACATTACAGACTGTGAGGCCGCCCCCAGGCTGGGGAGATGCGGCTGCTCTGCGGGGCCCAGAGCACTGGCCAGGTGAGCTGTGCTCCACCCTGCGGGTCTGGAGGAGTCCTGCCAGGTCTGTCCTCATGCTCTGCCAAAGAGCCCACAAGCCAGCCACATGCTCACTTTGAATCCTAGCGCTCGGATTCCCCACATTGAACTCATTTTCTTTCTAAATTTATATCCAAGGGCTTTTTCCCTTATATTATCAAGACTCAGGGGAACAAAGGAAAAAACAGAAGAGTGGAGGAAGATCATGGTAGAAAGTGCTGGGCGGAAAAAGAGAAGTAGGAGGAACTTAGCAAACGGCCGCCATTTTTTGCTGGTGAATAGAAAAGCTACCATCCTTGTATAAAGACATTCTAACTGCCTATTACAAATCCAGACCATGAAAATAAAGCAAAACCAAGCAAATTACTGCAAAACTCCCCCGCCCCTCTTTTTAAAGAAAAAGACTGTCCACTCATAGTGTGCCATTTTCCCATTTTTCCTGGTCACTTTTTCTTGACTTCCCAGCCCAATACAAAAGAAAGCAATTAGCTAATGTGACCTTTTTTATTCCTAAAACTTACAAGTTTATTTTCTCATGTTGTGTTGACTTGTACCATATTGTGTGTCTTCTAAACACCCTCAGAAAATACTTACAGCTAGGGAGAGCCTATTTGCTCTCTTCACTGCCACCTCTAGCTTTGCACATCTCTCAAATATTTCTGTGTGTTTTGAAACCAATTGGTATCCTAAAGCTTGTCCTCCCTCCCAGGCATAGCAGGGGCAAAACAAACTAATTTTTATCAAGATAAAATGATGCTCCTACTACCTTATACTTCTCAGACTGTGGCTCATACTGATTTATAATGGCCATGGTTAGTATATTCCTGGGCTATCATTCTCTCATTCTGGTGCAAAGATTTTAAAGCAAAGTATGTTTATAATAAAACAGAGATCTCTGTACATTGTAAGTACATAATACATATGAGGGATTTTTTTTAAGAGATGGTAGTAAATTACCACTGTGTGCCTGGGTGCTTCAGACTGTACTCACAAGCCAGTCAAAGACATATGTTGATTCAGTCAGATGCTGAACTGGATATCTGCTATGTGCTGAGGAACTGTCTAGGTGCTGGAAGTGTGGCAAAGAACAAAACAAGCAAAAGTCCGTTTTTTGCGTGAGGTTCACATGCTAGTGTGAGAGACAGGCACGTCAACAGATAAAGTATGTGTATGACATAGATGATAGGAAACATGGAAAAAGTGATGCAGGGAAGCAGAATGAGGTGAGGAGGGGCTGCCAGCCAAGGGTGTTGAACAAGAACTGCAATTTTTAGGAGATTAGTAAGAAAAAGAGATGAGAAAGTAATGAGAAAGCATTTGAGCAAGAATTTGATGGCGGTGAGAGCAGGACACAGTGCAGGAGGCAAAAGGAAAGGAATTTCAGGCTGAGAGAAGGAAAAAGCAAATTCAAAGGTCCCGAGAAATCCGCGTTCGTGACATGAAGAACAAAGGCGCTACTCTGACCACAGTGCAGCTGCGTCTCCCAAAGGGTGCAGGAGGCGGCGACGGAGGGTAGGAGGTGGGCGGAAGGGTGGTGTGGATACTGTGGTTCTGTCAGGACTCTGGATCTTGGTCTGAAGGAGAAGAGGAGCCATGGAGGGCCCTGAGCGGAGGAATGACTTCACTTGACTTCCTCGGGAGCGCAGTACTTGGTATTGAACCCAAGGCCTTCAAACTGAGCCACGTCCCAGCCCTCTTGAGATAGGGTCTCCTTAAGATGTGACTCTGCCCAGGCTGGTCTCCAGCTCTCAACCTTGCGGCCTCCGCCCTGTGGAGAGCTGGGATTGCAGGTGTGTGCCGCTGTGCCCAGATTTAATTTACCTTTGTAAGGGCTCGCTGTGTTGGGAGTGGACTGCAGCAGGGACAGCTGTCGTAAGCAGCCACGGTGCTAAGCCAGGCTAGAGTGACCACGACCTGGACTAGGAGCTGTGGGAGGGATGAGAAGTGAATTTAATCCAGATACACTGTATTTCTTTGAATCTAAAACATTGTTGGTTGAAAGATGCACCATTATTTTATGCACCACAAAAAGAAAAAAATCTGCCATTGCAACTAAGAAATTATAACACAGTGCTTTCTAATCGCTTAGGGCTCTCACTTCATAGTTTTTAAAAGATTGTTTTAGATTTAGACATTTCAGTCATTACTTAGGTAAAACAAATAAAATAAACTGATGAGTTAAACTGTTTCTG